GTACTGCAACATGTTGTGGACATTTTATATGCTCGCTTTTATTGTAAGTATCAAGTCCTTTACTTAAATAGACTCTAGTTTAATCCTTTTGTACAAACAGTGAACCAAATATGCTAGTTCTATCGATACAGTGTTGTTTAAATATGTGTCAAAATTGATATCTTTTGTGTCAGGTTTCAGTCCAGAGTGGGTCAGATGTAATAAACGAAGAATTTAATAATAACGATTGGACACCAATTACAAGAGATAAGGTTTTTAATATTTTGGACAGAAAATTAATAAATCATGAATTTGCTAAAGATAACATAAACCAAAATAACTTTGTGACTGAAAAATATAACAATAATGAAGAAATTATTCAAGAAGTTATCGGACCGAGATATGTTAATTACATTAATAATCGAAATGGAAGACAAAGTTATTCGAACAAAGAAACAGGTATATTATATAATTATTTATAACTAAAGGCAAAGTTAATACATTCAAGAAATATGCAAAACAAATACAATTTTCTCTAGATTTTTATATTTGATTATTATTTAATTTTTAATTCACTTTCAGAATCAAATAACGAAAAACATCAAGTAAATTTACTAAGCAACGGGAAATATCGAGAACCTAAAGAAATTTCCATCAATTCGATATATGCTATTAACAATTTAGCTTCAAATATAAATGAATTAACAGAAAAAGTAGACAATGAGTCGAAAGATAAATTAACTGAAGATGCAACTGTTACCCATTACGAAGTCACTGAGAGAAGTGAACATGGAGAATTACTTAAACAACAAGAAGTATTTAAACTACATAGAAATACAGAAATAGATAAGCTTAATGGAACAGAGGGAAAAAACCCAGAAACAAATAAATTTACATCAAAATTACTCAATATTCTTTCTAATTATAACATCAAAGTCAATGATGTTTTAACAAACTACGAAATGTCACGAAATTTCAAACGTAATCCTCCAAAGCAAGAGTATATTCTCGTTCCTATACCTATCAGATATTCTAGCAGGTTTAATAATTTTGCTTCTGATCCGATGTTGATTATGTTTTTATCAAATTACGGCTACTATTTACCAAATCAGTACGGACGTAGTAGATATTCCAATCTCTACGGACATTTGACTTCTAAAATTCACAGTAAGCAATTGGATTCATATAAAATTTATTCAGACACGGATTCATCACAGTGAAGGACTAAATTGCGTTGTTGTTTCTTTAAAAATGATTCTATTGCTAGTTTGATCAATAAAAAACAATTTATGTAACTGCAAAACTGTTGTTAATACACTTAGAGTAAAGTGTATCAATGTTCCAGCTTTGCAAGAAAAATGTATTTAAAATGAATTTCTCTGGTTTCATTAAATTTGATGTATTTAAGCGAACGATATTTCCTTTATCACGCTGCATGGCCGGAAGGTTTTTTCAAACATGAAAGATACAAGGGTAGGTCGCTTAAGGCGCTGAAAAGCCTTTGACTAAGGGCGGGGGTTGAGCTGCCACTTCACCTGAGATGGGAGCTTAATCTGAGAGCACCCTAGAGGGCGCTTCTGTTCCTTACGTACACACAACTTCTGGGTCAAGATTTTTTAGATATAAAGTTGCAGTAGAATTGTTAAATTAATAAATAAAATCTTATTTATAAGAATAAACAATTATTTTACACATGTAAATTTTTAGTGTATATAACTTTAATAAATATAGTTTTAAACTATATGCTTGTAATATTTTATTAAAAAAAGTTTTAATTAAAAAAAAAATTTTGTTAATTTTGAAAAAGTTTCGGGCATCTGCTCGTAAAGTGATAATTTTATCAAAAGTTAGTCCATGTTACTCCATATCTGACTAGCTACCTAAGTTCAAAAAAATGTCGACAAAACACGCAAAATATAAAACTTGTTAAAAAACCTTACTTTGTTTAAGTCCTTAATAGTTTAATTGGTACCGTGCATACGTCAATCTAAGTGCATCTACATCCGCCATCGACGTCACTTAACATGACGTACTCCGCTCCGACAATCTGATTTGTGAGCGGACTGCAGGGGATAATTTCAATCATATCACCAATTAATATCTCAATCTATGTTATTGAATATTGCTATAAACGTATTTATATCTCTTTTATTCGATATCAACATAATATTTTGTAGTTTATTAGATTTTTAGGAGGTCACAAACGTGTCGTCGACTATCACGTATATCATAAGCCTTTATTGCCTCGCGCAATAATAACAAGTACATAATGAAATGTTATACACTTTTATATATAAAGTGAAATTAAACAATTTCTATGTTAAAATGATTCTAATTGAGTTCCTCATTATTTGTATTAATTAATGGCAAATGAGTAGCTAAAACAGTAAAAGTTCACGTCAAATATTCATGTCGTGTTCCTTAAGAAATAATTTCCATTTATAAATATTCAAAGGGGCTTCTCGGGCCGATATTTTTACCGCCATTAGCCGACTTCATTATTTAGAGCCGGAAATATTTTGTCTGAGAGCGCCCTCTGCCGGAGAATGGGGATCAAGTCTGCCATAAAATTAAAATTTTCACAAAGCCCCGGCTCTAGAGGTTACTACGATTGTTTCAAACCCGCACCCGGCCCTGCAATTCTACTTACAACGATTGACTGAGTACCGTCATAGATTCTGTATTATGTTTCATTTAAATATTACTTAACACAGAGAATAAACTTGAGAAAATAGTCGCAATGTCATTTTGATAGGGTTTTTATGATGAAAATAAACAAGTCTAAAACAATGCGTTGTAAGCCGTGGTCAGTGGTAGCTGGGCGGGCGTAGGGCGGGCGGCATAGGGCGGGCAGGGAAGGGCGGGCGGCGCACCAGACCGGCTAATACCGATTACGTCGGACTCTCGTTTTTTAACAGGATTACCCGTTTGAGCTCTGCTCTGGTGCTTGCCACTTCACGCTACTCTCTTGTCCTTTGCACCGTTTTTAATTTAAATTTAAAAATTTTAACTGTTCAGCGTTCTAAAGTTTAAACTTTTGTTTTTCAACCATTTAAAGTTTATAGAAAAATACTTCATTGTGTATTTCTTCTTCTTTTTAATAAACTCAATCAGAGATGTTACTAATTATAAGAAAACTTTTGCATGACTGTTATTGTAGTATCGATCAAAAGAAAATAACTGAGGGCGATGGCCAGTTAAAGTGCACGTCGTCTGGCTGCTTCTTGTCTCGGACTGAATCGTTACATTCCACCTAATGACTTCATTTAAAATTTTACTGTCTATTAAAATAAGATTAGAAAAAAATCCAACATAAACATGAACAGATTCTTACTAAAACTGTCTTTTAATACTTAATAGAGAGAACACACTTAATTATTTTATGTCGTAATTAAATCTCAATATAAATTTAAGACAAATCAATTAATGTAATAAATGTAAAAAAGCTCTAATCTAATTAATGTAAATTATAAAGTAACCGGGACAAAGTCGAAATATTAAAAAATGTAATAAAAAAGATAAAAACACGCTTTACGAAATCAAATAAAAGCGGATCCATGAAATATCAATTTCAGGTCAAATGAAAGAATTTTCTGATGAATCACAACGATAATGATATTGTTATTCTTTGGGAGTGAAAATTTTTACTGAACAATGTAAAACAAAGAACACAAAAACGTTCAAACCACTTTCTATTTAGCATCGAATTTAACGTATATTCATATAAATAATCTGACAAATAATAATAACAATTATTAATACAAAATATAAAATTTTATACTAATGAATTTTCATTCTTTAATTTCCGTCTTATAAAATAGAAAAACATTTTCCCGTTCGTATTTCTCTTATAATCTGGTTTTATTCACAAACGGAGTTACAACGACCAGCCTCCTTCGGGGAGATTATTGAAATGTTTTCGATATTAATATTGTTTTTTCATCGAATCTTTAGATTTATGTTATTATGTTATACTGCTCACTTTGTAATTTCAATTTAGCACATTTATTCTATCTTACAACACAATTATCAGAGCACTTCAATGACTATAAAGCATGCTAGACACGTTAGGTTTTCTATTAAGATGTGCACCTACTATGTATAACTCAGAGGCTAAGCTCAGCATTTATGTAACAACGCTATACAGATACATGTACGTAAAACCCGGTTATGACTTTCTGTTATATCTACATAAAAACGTCATGCAAAACCTAACGTGTGTAGGTTGCATAATACGCGACGTTCCACCAATTAATAATCGGCGAGTGAGTTCTCGCTTTGATTAAAGCTCCCCGTAATATCTGAATTAGTTCCACTTTACTTCAGACGACATTATTACTGAGATCGCGACACGTTAATAGAATAAGAGGTACCATTAGAAGTAATTAAGACGCTCGCAACGTTTATATTACACACGTTTCATTCACAAAATTATATTATGAGAAGTTCATGACAATGAAAACCATTGGGAATAACCACAAACAATTCGAATTGCTAATCTTCAGAACTGATCGTATCGAGTTTATTCATTATTCATATAAAATAGAATACAGGTCAGTTGGAGACATTAAAACATTTGTGTATTGTTAAATCTGTTAAATTAGTTCACATTTAAACAGCACATTCACAGAATGCTGTTAGTGCACCTAAATCGAAATAGCCGTTCATTAAAATTTAGCCGGAACACGCGGTGGGCTCAGTTAGGTGTTGCAGCTACACACGCCCGGGCCCCGCCAATTGCGCGTACCAATGTACCATAAATAAATCAATTGGCCATTATGCGGTCGCCATACATATTTTTAATATAAATTTACTGCTCGCTAATGGTAGCACAACTCGCAGTCGCTGCGGTTCCATTAATTTAGAACTATTGTGATTTATTAGCATTGGACGTAGGCCGCTATGTTTAGTTTTTGTTAGGTGCATAAATATTTAAAAAAGAAAACACAAATTAATTTAAAAATCCCTTGATGAAGAGCACAATGGCATCCCAATGACGCCTGTCAGTATACATTGAGCAAAAAATAGATTAGGCTTTCAGGTTGAGAAAAACTGTGGTGTGAAGGATGTTTTAAAATTTACGTTGTCGATCTATCAACTAATGTATACTAAGCTTAGAAACCAACTCTGTCCACATCGCTTGGATTAAAAGAAATTAAACTTTATTTAGAAGCTAAAAACATTAATTCCAAAAATTTGTCTCCAGTGAAACGAGACGATGTTAACGGCTGAAAAAACGAATAGCAAACGTCAAGCTATCCCGCCTGTAGCCTCGACCCGGGTTGTCGCGGGGAGGACGCCACCATACCGATTAAAACAGATTAAACGACAGATTCTTTTTTTATCGGATTACAAGCGTTTGAGCTGTATTTAGGTGTTGCTGAGTTATCGCCGGTTTTGCATCCCTCTTCACGCTCTTTTAAAGTTAATTGCATGATCGTTACGTATCTATATATTGAATACCGCTTTTTTGTAGTGTTTTATACAAACAAAGAAATTGAATTTTGCTTTTCGTATTTGTTTTTTCTTTTCAATATGGATATGTTGCTGTTTTCATTACCGTTTTAATTTAAAACGTTTGCAGTCTGTACTGTGTGTAACAAAATAACAGTACTCGCGCGGGGCAGGCGGTGAAAAGTTCCGGATCGGATATGAATTCCATTTCCACGGCGCGTAGAAGTCGGATGGACTGAACTGAAGCACATTGAGCCAGTTAACTAAATTCAGTATAGTGAATTTCGACTGCCAAAATAATAACACGTCGTTTTTTTTTTAAATTATTAATACGTTTTGTCGGCTAAATGTGTTAATTGATTGAATGAAATCTAATGTCAGACAAAATGCACAAACTAAATATGTCAGTAAAGATTCCTAGTTACTCACGTGTTAGTGTTTCGCTAACCACTTAAACGCTTGTCTGCTGCGGATAAGCTTTGGTGTTGCAGAATTTAAACAAGAGTGTAATGAAACCTGTTAAAACTCCCAGGTAGAATATAAATCTACTGACGCTTATACGTGACACGGCCGCGTCTCAACGACTTCGCTGTACATTGCGTATTGCATAATATTGTTAAAGACGGCAGCCACATTGCAGAGACAATAGTTATCTCAATTGCTTTATAGAAGTCAATTGTTTTTCCCTTCGTTAAACCACCGAAAGGAAATCGCGTAATACACTGCTTATAAATTGTTACATACCTTTAAACCTTATTTATATTTAACAAGCAATGTATGTTTAACCATTTGTAAAAACCGTTCCTGAAGGCGAAGTAATGCGAGCGAGTTGTTCCTGGATTTAAATTTCACCTAAGGAATTTTAATTCTATGTTGTTAGCGACATGTTTCAGTGCGCGGAGACGCTGCGGGTTGCGTTACCAAACAGAGCACTGCTACACTAATGTTACTCGAATTGCATCTCAACAGAGCCCTCATACCTGTGTCACGCAAATTTAGACTCTATAAAGCTATTTACAAGGTGTATTTTGAATTTATTGATCGTTTATGAATATTTATAAAGATGATCGTTTAGGGGAGAGATTGGAATTAATACAGTTTTGCAAGTCATTATAAATATATTGTGTTTGATTTCCATTTACATGTTGCTTAAATTATATAAACGTTCTAAAGATG